AATAAAATAAAATAAAATAAAAAAAAGCCTCCTTCGAAAGAGCAGTTACATTGCTTTGAAGACTAAAGTATATATGTAAAAATCGCGTCTAGGTGCCGAACAATCACTTAAAATTTCACTGTAATTGGTGTTCTCGACAGTCTAGACGCCGACTAGCTAGCAGCTAGGCTACGGCGGACGTGACAACCATCTAGACAGTTGATTAACTATTGTTCCGTGTTTTTTTTAATAGGTTATTTCGCTTAAAAAAACAGTAAAAAGTTATAGATCAGATACTTTTATAATTAACTACATTTTAATTCTTTATACTTATTTTACTATTACACACACACACACACACACACACACACACACACACACACACACACACACACACACACACACACACACACATATATATATATATATATATATATATATATATATATATATATGTTCTAGGTGGATTTTGTACATATAATTCGAATTTAACCCGATCTATAATAAATTTAATTTTTTAAAATTCACCTCCAAACTTACCAACCACTATCACTCAAAAAAACTCGATCCATACAAAATAGATCTAGATAGACATTCACATAATGAATTGAAATTATCATCCTAACCCCAATAATAATGGATACTGTAAATAATAGTGCATAATTGCATATGAGTGTAAATATTGAAGAGAAATAAATGAGGTAATTATTTCCACATTCACACCTACTTGTCAGAAAACATTACGTACACAGCTACTTAAATATTTAATGGAGAAAATAAAGACAAACAAAGAGATCAAACTGAGGGGGACGACAGAAGTACAGAACTATGCCATTGACTTTTGACACGGACATAAATATGTGTACCCAATTTGTAAAATTAATTTTGACTATTAAATTTTACTTTTTTTTTCTCTCTGTTATATTGTAATATATGTTCATTTATATTTTTTTAATCTCTTAAAACATTAAGAGTCAACACCATCACAGTCAACACCGTCTCCATCGAGACTCTCTCATAATCTTCCATATAGGAGAGTCACTACATGCATGTCATCTGAGCAGAAGATGCTTAGCATTAAATTTTACTCCCTAATAATTTTATTATCTCACTTAAAATTTAAATATTAATATTTTTTTTTTCAAAGGAAAAAGAACTTTATTAAAAAGCAAGGCCGAAGCTAGAACAAAGTCTGAACGGACTTAGGCCCCACATGGCCTAAATCCTAAAATAAACTAAGTAAAGAAACGCTAAATAAAACGAGATAACATAAAGTGGCCCCCGGGGCTCTAACATGAATGCCCCCAGGCCCTACGATAGCTAACACTAACTCATCGCAGGCAGGAGTATGTCAATCAAGCAAGTAGGCCGAGATGCTGCTCCAAATATGCACGTACAGCGTAACTGCATCCCAGCCCATCATGTAATCCCAAAATCTCAAGTAGCGAGGATAGAGGCCTCGCGTGTCACAAACGTGGCCCCCCCAGCCAGTTGCACTACAGCGACTACACACCGAATGAAAATAACTTATCACTCATATCAAGAAGTAAAAACGAATGAGTATAAATTGTGAGTCGTAATAGAAGTCAACCAATTTAGATGCAATCTATTATTACTGTTCATTTTGGTGTACAACTCCCGGTTTGTCTCTTTGCCATATTCGCAGTATTATTTTTGAGTTGATATCTATCAATCGGTGCATATTACCAAATAACTTTCCTTCTATAAATATTCTACGAGTTATGAATAGAGTTCTAGGTAATGTTTTACCCGTTACTATTATTATAATATTAACACAAGTTATGATAATATTTAATATTTGATATATGTGATGTAATACTAATAACTTAATAGTTAGACTACCATTATAATTAAGAGTCTGGTTAGAGTTTAGGAGACCTACATACAGTTACAATGATGGCTAGTCGTTATATAATGTCACTAGTTCTCTCACTGCTCACATTACATACCTCATGCACCATATAGAGAGAGTTGAGTTGAAGTGAGAAACACAACGTAAACTCTACAGCAGTTTGGATCATTCAATAGCAATCAATACAAGAACTATCATTCATAGCCATCAATACAAGAACTAATAGCGGGAGGTTAGTGCGATCCAGTTATCATGTGATTCATATTAATACTAACATTCTACTGTACTATATGTACTCTCAATTTTTATTTTTTTTTGAAAAATAGAATAGCAATGCATTAATTAAAAAAGTGCGTCAAAACTAACGGGGAAGAACGAGTGCTTCTAGCTAAGGTATGAGCTAACTGGTTCATTGAAAGTGAGATAAAACGGCATAATGAAAATTGAAAAGATGAAAGAAGATCATGGCATTGTACTAATATATAGGATGGGGCCGGTGTAGGAGTGATCTTTATATCTTTTCGGGATGCATGGCAGTCGGATTATATTCCTTGCATGTCACGTACTGTCTCCACGTGGTAGGGATCATCGACATAAGGGATAGGACCACTCACTGCTGCAACAAAGCTTCCTGTCGTACCATCTAAAATTACTGCACGTTCCAAAGCCAAACCTGCTTTTCTTGTCTCGTTAAAGATCGAGTGCTGCGTCCACCTGGCATCGGAGAGTTTCCGGCGGCAAAGGGGTGGTTGGCGGCTTTGCTTCTTTGAAAAGTTGTTCCAATCTTCCATATTTCTAGAAGCATTTTGAAGGACCTAGTACATGGAAGTAAACTAGATCCTAAAAATAAGCCTAACAAATATGTGCTTTAAGCTATAATAATACTTCTTAAAATACAGTAGGAAAGCAGCTAAATTAAGTAAGAAGTTCTCAACTTCGTCTTTAAGTAAGATCTTCCAAATCTTGTGAATTCAGGCTCCATTTATACCTTCTTCGTTCCTCCCAAACATTGTGGCTGTAGTTTAGTGGTGAGAATTCCACGTTGTGGCCGTGGAGACCTGGGCTCGAATCCCAGCAGCCACAACATTGCATTTCATGGTCTACCTTTATTTTTTATGCCACGCCCAACTGTATAAATTCCACTCTTGATTATCTTTTTCATCTTGTATCAAGCTCAGTAATGGACATTTCATTTATAGACAATGGCATTGACTTGCTTGCAATCTCAATCTAATTCTACCCTTTTCCCATTATCTCTGATCTTCCATTGCACAAAAATACAGGTTGAAAGGGTGATGACCTAATAACAAAATGACTATTGATCATGGGGATCGGACTACTTTTGCCATTCTAGATAGGGCTTCCTATCAATTATGATTTTTAACCAACAATCTTGCGGATGCTTCCTATCAAATATGGCGGATATATAGATAAAGTAAATGACACGTGATAATCATCACAAGGAAGGCAACATCTTCCATTTTTTATAAACAAGAAACTTGTTGAATGGTTAAGGAGTAAACTTAGTGATTTTGTTTCAATATATGAGAACATTAAAGTACTTATGTCTGTATAAACCTTAATCTTGATTGTTAGACTTTTATAACCCGTCTATCTTTTGTTTATGTTTGGATTATCACCATGGTTAATGGTTAATTTGCTAGAGTTGTATAATTAGTATTGTATTAACAATTAATACCATTTACTTTAAGTTCCAGTGTTACTGTACATGCTCATTGATATCAGGATCAATATTTAATTTTTAACCAAGTCTTGACTAGTTGCAAAAATATAATGTCTTGCCATTTGAACCCTATTATGTAGCAATTCAAATGATAAAGTTGAAAATCTGAAACTCAATAAAACTAAAGAGTTAATTCTTGACTTCAAAAAAAAAAGAGTTAATTATTCTTGATTTAGTCTTCTAACTATTACTCATTAACAAGGGTAAAATTAGAAAGTAATGACTATTGCGCCAATTATTTTTCACACACAAAAAACAAAGTTCTTTCTTTTTTTCCAACCACCGTAATTTCACCCTTAATGTTAATAGGAATTCTCACACGTGGGAAACAAAGTTCTAATTTAATTTCCTTATTCTAGCCGCTCTAATTTCACCCTCAATTTTAAAACTCTAATTTCTTTATTCTAACAGGTCTAATTTTACACTCAAAGTTAATAGGAAGGAAGCTTACCATGGATTACAATTGAAAATGATTTAATACTCCAAGACTAAATTTAGTAATTTTAAAAGTCAAAGAATAAAATTAAAAATGAGTGATAGTCAGAGGACTAAACTTAGCATTAATGGAAATTATAATTATCATTAAGACATATTTATGTATAATTAAGATTTTATCATTCAATTGTACAACCTTGTGGCTGTAGTTTAGTGGTAAGAATTCCATGTTGTGGCTGTGGAGACCTGGGCTCGAATCCCAGCCAGCCACACTGAACAAAGGTTCCCTACTTTTGCCTCCTATGCACCAATCTGCTGCGTAAACCTCGTCCTGGTTCTCATTCACCATTGTCTCTGGCTTCATCTGTTGAGTAGGATCCTCCGATACAAGAACACATTTACCAGTGTTAGATGGTTCTACCTGAATCTCTAAAGTTGAAACTTTTTTTCCTAGTTAGAATATCCAAAATCAAAACACTTTTTTTCCTAGTTAGAATATCCAAAATCAAAACACTAAAGCTTTAAAGATCAGACTTAGAACTGACTGTGGTTGCATATTCGGGAGAAATGTAGTTACTACCAGTCATTTAATAAATTTTAGGTCATAAGTATAAACATGGAAACAGATGAACGGAATGAAGACATTTTCTTGCAATGATGAACTAAATAACAAAGGATGCAATAGTTGTTGGGTGCCCACGAATTGAGATAGACACAACACTAAGATGAAAATGAAAACTTACTATGGTTCCAACCACTCATCTTGTATTTCATTGGATTTGATAGGGAAAAATGATCAGAGAGAGTGAACATTTAGGACACCTTGTAGTCTAACACAAAAAGGTATTCGAACCCCATTGAGATTTAACGTAGTTGGTTCATCGTCTTACTTATCACAGTGTGAGGGTTTGAATCTCACTGGAAGCATGAGAATAATGTCAAAAAAATGCTAGAAGTTCCATGTCCAAGGCAGAAAGGCAGCATTAAACAACCAATATTCATCATTTCCAAACAATATAATGCATGGACTAGAATTCAATACATCAAAAGATTTATTTTTTAAATTTCAATCTGCATAAGTTTCATCCGTGTACTCCATGACTGGATTCCTTGGTTCTCTCCCTCATCTTGGACCTAGCTCAGTAATGGACATTTCATTTTCAGACCATGGCATGGACTTGCTCTTAGACTTATCTGACTCTCCTTTAGGCTCTGATCTTCCACTATAGAAAAATGCCGGTTCACGAGGGGCTGATCTAGTAACAGAATAACTATTGAGCATTAGGTCAACATTTGCCATTGTAGGCCTCTCGTCGACATCTTCTTGAACGCATAACAAGCCAATATGGATGCATTGGATGACTTCATTTCTTGAGAAGGATTCTCCGAGAACTGGATCCAATATTCCTAAAGGTGTGCCATCCCTCCAATGTTTCCAAGCCTGCAACATTTATCAACCTTAGGTTAAAAGGGTTAACAGCGTTAATGATTTTGCAGCATGCAGTTATAGGCTTTAATTTTGTACTCACATAACTAAGAAGATCTTGCACTCCACTTGGATCAGTGAAGTTAGTGCATTTTTTCCCCGTTACCATCTCCAAAAGCAGAACACCGAAACTATAAACATCAGACTTCACAGAGAAGTGGCCATGCATTGCATACTCAGGAGACATATAACCACTGTCAACCATTAAACCAATGAGGTATATCAAATTATAGTTATGAATGACATCTTTTGCAATACTGAATCAAATAATAAAGGATGTAATTGTTGTTGTATGCTCACTGCTAAGATGAAAAAGAGAACTTACTATGTCCCAACAACTCTGTTTGTATTTCCTTGAGTTTGATCAACTCCAAATATTTTGGCCATGCCAAAATCTGCTATTTTCGCGTTCATATCTCTATCCAGTAATATATTACTTGCTTTGAGATCACGGTGTATGATTCTTAGACGAGAATCTTCATGAAGATATAGCAGTCCTCGTGTTATCCCTTCTATAATCTTATAACGCCTTGACCAATCCAATAGGTGCCGCTTTTCAGGATCTTCATAAATAATAAAATGTATGTCTCAAGGTTAGGCAAATTTTGTAAAAGACTTAATTATGAGCAGAAAACTATGGATATTTTATGGTTTGAAACTAACCAAATAAAAAGTAGTCAAGACTTTTGTTGGACACAAATTCATAGATTAGTATCTTCTCTTCTCCTTCTGAGCAAAATCCCAGTAGCCTTACTAAATTTCTATGTTGAAGTTTGGCAACTACTTCTACCTCCATCTTGAATTCTTGAGCTCCTTGTCCAGAGTTTCTTGAAAGCCGTTTTATAGCTACCTCTTGTTCGGTGGGAAGTTTTCCCTTGAGTGTTATTCATCAACAAACAATTAGTAATCAACACACACACACACACAAATACACACAATCGATAAGGTGGGCAAGCTTCTTCCAGGTGAAATGTGTGAATTAATCACAACCTTTGATCTTGTCAAAATCAACAATCCAGGATAAAGAACAATTAAAAAAATACGGTGGCATTATGATCATTTTGCGTAAGGTCATAACTTAAGGTGTGTAAGTTTAAAGCTTAAGGTGTGTATGTTTAAAGCTTAAGATGCGTAAGTTTATAGTATTAGGTGGCTAAGTTTAAAGTTTAAGGAGTTAAGTCTAAAACTTAAGGTGCGTAAGTTTATAGTTTAAGGTGCGTAAATTTATAACTTAAGTGTGTTTAAAGCTTAAGGTGCGTCACTTTCTAGTTTAAGGTACATCAGTTTAACTCTTAAGGTGCGTATTTTTAAAGCTTAGGGTGCATTATTTTCTAGCTTAAGGTGCATAAGTTCGGAACTTAAGGTGCGTAAGCTTTAGGTGTCTAAGTTTAAAGCTTAAGGTCCTTAAATTTAAAGTTTAAGGTGCGTAAGTTTATAACTTAAAGTGCTTATATTTAAAGCTTAAAGTGCGTCACTTTCTAGTTTAAGGTGCATTAGTTTAACTCTTAATGTGCGTATGTTTGAAGCTTAAAGTGTGTTATTTTTCAGCTTAAGGTGCATAAGTTCAAAGATTAAAGTGCGTGAGTTCAAGACGCTTGATCATTTGCATTAAGGTTGCCACGATGGGTGTTTTTTTAAACAAAATTTCCCTTCAGTTTGGGCCGTTGATCTAATCTAGATCAACGACTCAGATCTAACCCTATTTTTCAATTGGGAGAAGCGTAGCACGTGAACATTCCCTATGTATATATATATATTGATGTTACCGATCAAATCAAAGACTTTACCTTGTATACACAACCATATCCACCTTCGCCAATTTTATTTTCAGGAGAAAAATCATCTGTAATAACTTGAATAGTAGCAAGATCATATTGCAAGCAATCCTCAGTTGAGATTCCAGACACATCTACAGGAAATATGGAGAACAGATTGTAAATCTCAAAAACTTTGAATGGGAAATATAGTATCACAAACAAGTATAGAAGTTAACCTGTTTGCTCTGTTGTAGTAATTTGTTTCTTGACTTTTGTAGCTCTCACAAAACAGAAGATTGCAATGAAGAGTATAATCCCAACAACGATAGGAACTACAATGGCAATTATCACTTTTGAAGATGAATTTCCACTGTTTCCTGCATCAATAGAGATAGACTACAGTACTGAAAACAAGAGAAAATACTCAAAACATCAGATTACAGATATACATGAACCAAGAAAACTTTACCTTCGCCGGTGAGAGGAGGAGGAGGAGGACGGATTGGAACTGGAGGCGGCGGTGGCGCAGAGGCGGCTGTGCTATTATAGAAAGTGTACTTCTCATACCTAATATTACAGTCTGGGGTGATAGTTCTAGCGCCCTCTGCCGGAGTTTGCAGTTGTTGGGTACTGCTGCTTAGGCATGTCCGACAATCCAAGTCGGAAAGATCCGGCCGGCACTGCCCAAGACAGTAGATACTCTCAGATCCAGTGACGTTAGTCTCTCGAGTCGCAAATTTCTTGTCGGGGGATTCATCGTCGACCACTAGAGTGACCACCTGATCCAACGTGTTTCTCACAGACCGCATGAACCTCTCCGGTTGAGAATCGTTCCGAGCGTTACGCAGAATTAAAATGACAGAAGACTGGTCGCGTCTCCCATATAAAGGCCCATCGGAGTAACGCAACATACAGTAATCGTACCAGATGGTTGCAGTCATTTGGTTGGGACATCGCTGCAATACGGCCACGGTGGCATCGCCTACACACGTCCTGCAAACGCCGGCGGCGACATCTCCCCGGCACATGAACAGGCCGTACACGGCGGCGTCAGAGGCGTTGCGGCCCCCGACGGTGGAGTTGTAAAAGCCATTTTCATGGTTTCCGTTGGAAGAAAGGGTGGAGAGGAGAACATTGAGGTTGGCTCGATAAGTGCTGTTTGGAGCGTAAGTAGAGGTGTTGGGACACAACTGGCCGAGAGGTTGGGAGGAAACTCCGGCGAAGAGAGTGAGCAGGAAGAAGAAGATGCAGAGGGTGTAGTCCAGCCCCAGCTGAAAGCATCTGAATTGAGAATCCATAATTGTTTATTATTTTTGTTGAGTTTCTTGTTCGGAAGAATACCCACATAAAAAGGGGATATTGAAGACAATGGTTTTCCTCGTCAAATTAAGAATTTCGTTTTTTGCCACAACTTCATGTTTTCAACAAACGAACAGGGCACGAAGTACCGTTGTTTGTTCATCGTAGTCGAAAGCGATGTATTGATGACGACGGGAGTGGAACGTCTAGAAACGCGGAGACTACTTTTAATTTGATAATATCAAAATTGTAATAAAAGCCTGTGACATGTTCATAAAATCCTTTGACGTTTGGTTGGAACTAAAAAATTATGAGAAAATAAATTGTAATTCAATAAAAAAATAGAAGAAAGTAAAAATTTAAATTTTATTGTTTGATAGGTTGGGAATGGAAATGTAAGAAGTGATATAAATACAAAAATATTCTTTGTGTAATGAGTACTATACGTACTTCCAAATTCTATTCCCTTACTTATACTTCCTGAGGTGGCAAACAAGGATCGATTATTTTTATCTTAAGTCCACAGAAAAATGTCTACATCAAGAACATATGAAAGGGAGTACAAATTGGAAGTATAAAATGAGAGTACACCAAGTATTTTCCTTGTGTATTAATAATAATAAGGGCAAAGTTGTCATTTGATTTGGATGTAAATGTGGTGATATCCACTTTGGCGAGAGGTGTTACCAATTCCTACCACCAACTAAATTACTTCAATCTTCTATAACTTTTACTATTGGAGGATGAAATGCGTGAATAAGCTAGGAAGAAAGGGGCACTAGAGTAATTTTACTTAGCATAATTCAGTTGTAACGGTTTTTCCCTCCTTGAGGACGTATCTTTTTTTTTTTTAATACTATTAACTCTATTACAGTATCTGTTCATAACAACTTTCTCAACCTACGGAAGCACAGAGAGTCAATAGCTTCTCCATTGAGGCTTGAACCCACAATCTCCCATGCTTCATAATAATCAAGACACATCCACCTTTCTTCTTCCCTATTTGCATGTAACCTCTCTCATCATGGTATTAGAGCCACGACGGAGCTCTTACACCATCGCCGTCTTTGGCGCCAGAGAATTGAATCAAGGTGCACAAGCTGCTTCACCAGTAAGTTGATCACCAGTTCGCATCATATCTACAACAGTTCCACAGAGGAACTTTCCAACACAAACACAGAGGAATTACAACACAAAGGAACTATAGAATCCATTGTTCCTCAATGTCAACGACAATCCATGTACAGTTTTGATTACTTCGCAATTGACAGGGAGATCGAACTACGGTACGTGGTCTATTTCTTTGTGCATAGTCCTAGAGGTGAAGAACAAATGGAGCCTCGTTGATGGAGGTACTTTAGCGCCAAACCGAGATCATCTCCAATATGCCGCCTGAAGAAGATGCAACTTGATGATTTGTTCATGGATCTTCAAGTCAGTACATCTGTTCATTGCACAGAGCATCATGCATCTCGATAAAGCCAAAGATGTATGGGACTATGGGGATGATCTAAAAAGGAGATTCTCTCAACGCAACGCTCAGCGCATTTCAAGCTTACAAAATGAAATCTACAATCTGAAGAAAGCAAATCTGTCTGTGAACGAGTATTATAGTATACCAAATGTTGAACAATGTGGGAGGAGATGAATGTATTGAGACCTCTTCCCATATGTAAGTGTGATCCACGATGCTCCTGTGATCTGATCGACGAAATCAGGAAGAACGCGACACGGATCAGGTAATTCGATTCCTTCAAGGTATGAACGAATTGAAGACTACAGTAGCTTAAAGTCTACCCGGATGCTACATTGACCCTTAACTGTACAGATGTGCCTATTGTCAAACCAAGCCTTGCTGCGAATTCAAATGCTATGAACGAGTTGGTGGGCCCTGAGTCAAACAACACAATGGCGGGTACGGAGTGTACAGGGAATGTCCCCGGTTACTACGTCGCTATTTCCGATTTGAGCTTTGCTCATGGCAAGAATCCTCCCTTGTATCATCTCTGTCTTGTCCTTCGAGACCTGAACCATTGATGTCTCTTGGCCCTGATGGAGAGCGGCCATGGCTGTCCTTAATTTCTGTGGAGGGGTTATCAAGCTCCTCTCGAGTTTCCTTTTGAGCGTCTCGGGGACTCCCCGAGGGGCATGTTGTATCCGATAGAGTTCGGCCGCCCTGGTATATGCTTCGTTGAGTGTCCTCGATTTGCTCACAGTTAAGGTTTTTCTACCTTCGAAGTTGAGCCCTGCAATGAATTTTTGCACCTTGGTTGCCTCCGTAGGGACTAACTCATACGCGAAACGAGCCAACTCTAGAAATCTCTTATGGTATTCCTCTACCTTGGTGCCTCCCTGTTTAAGGCGAAGGAACTCTTCGTACATGGCTGCTCTTATATGCTGGGGGTAGAAGCGTCCCAGTAGTTTAAAGCCTACTAATCGAAACCCGATTCCTGCCTATATGTTGGTCCTTCTTGAGCCCACCACGAGTCGGCCTCGTGTCTGAGATAGAATGATGCCAATCGGACTCGACGCTCCTCTGGACACTTCATTACTTCGAAGATCTTGTCAAACGTCTGAATCCATTCTTCAAGTATCGCAGGGTTTTCCTCCCCGGCAAAGGAAGGGGAATTGTGGCCCAGTATCTGGTGAGCCACGTCGCGATTTCCGTTTAGTTGAGATCGGGTACTCCCAGCTAGGGTGGCGTGGCTTAGAGTCTGAATGAGCTGGGTCAACTATTGTAGGTTCTGAGTCAACGGGTCGCGAGCGGTTGTCTCATGCAATAATGATTGCTATTATGTAGCAATTCAAATGATAAGTTGAAAATTTGAAACTCAATAAAACTAAAGAGTTAATTCTTGGCATTCAAAAAAAAAAAGAGTTAATTCTTGACTTCAAAAAAAAAAAGTTAATTCTTGATTTAGTCTTCTAACTATTACTCATTAACAAGGATAAAATTAGAAAGTAATGATATTGCACCAATTATTTCTCACACATAAAAAACAAAGTTCTAACTCTTTTTTTTTTAATCACCGTAATTTCACCCTTAATGTTAATAGGGATTCTCACACGTGGGAAACAAAGTTCTAATTTCCTTATTCTAGCCGCTCTAATTTCACCCTCAATATTAAAACTCTAATTTCTTTATTCTAACAGCTCTAATTTTACAAAGTTAATAGGAAGGAAACTTACCGTGGATTACAATTGAAAATGATTCAATACTCCAAGACTAAATTTAGTAGTTTTAAAAGTCAAAGAATAAAATTAAAAATAAGTGATAGTCTATTTAACATTAACGGAAACTATAATTATCATTAAGACATATTTAACGAATAATTAAGATTTTTTCATTCACTTTTACAATGTTGTGGCTGTAGTTTAGTGGTAAGAGTTCCACGTTGTGGCTGTGGAGACCTGGGCTCGAATCCAAGCAGTCACACTAAACAAAAGTTCCCTAGTTTTGCTGGTTCCTATGAACCAATCTGCTGCGTAAACCTCATCTTGGATCATGCTCGTAATGGACTGCCCCATTCACCATTGTCTCTGACTTCATCTGTTGAGTAAGATCCTCCGATACAAGAGCACATTTACCAGTATTAAGTTAAAAGGGATAACAATATTAATGATTTTGCCGCGGTTAGAACGTTCTACCTGAATCTCTAAAGTTGAAACTTTTTTTCCAGTTACAATCTCCAAAATCAAAACACCAAAGATTTAAACATCAACTTAGGGGTTCTACCTGAATCTCTAAAGTTGAAACTTTTTTTCCAGTTACAATCTCCAAAATCAAAACACCAAAGATTTAAACATCAACTTAGAACTAACGGTGGTTGCATATTCGAGAGACATGTAGTTACTATCCGTCATTAAATAAATTTAAGGTCATAAGTATACACATGGAAACAGATGAACGGAATGAAGACATTTTCTTGCAATGATGAACTAAATAACAAAGGATGCAATAGTTGTTGGGTGCCAACGCATTGAGATAGTAGATGGACACAACGACTAAGATGAAAATGAAAACTTACTATGGTTCCTACCACTCTTCTTGTATTTCATTGGATTTGATAGGGAAAAATGATCAAGAGAGTGAACATTTAGGACACCTTGTAGTCTAACACAAAAAGGTATTCGAGCCCCATTGAGATTTAACGTAGTTGGTTCATCGTCTTACTTAGGACAGTGTGAGTGTTTGAATCTCATTGGAAGCATGAATGAGAATAATGTCAAAAATATGCTAGAAGTTCCATGTCCATGGCAGAAAGGCAGCATTAAACAACCAATATTCATCATTTCTATACAATATAATGCATGGACTAGAATTCAATACATCAAAACATTTATATTTTTAATTTCAATCTACATAAGTTTCATCCGTGTACTCCATGACTGGATTCCTTGGTTCTCTCCCTCATCTTGGATCTATCTCAGTAATGGACATTTCATTTTCAGACCATGGCATGGACTTGCTCTTAGACTTATCTGACTCTCCTCCTTTAGGCTCTGATCTTCCACTATAGAAAAATGCTGGTTCACGAGGGGCTGATCTAGTAGCAGAATAACTATTGAGCATGAGGTCAACATTTGCCATTGTAGGCCTTTCGTCCACATCTTCTTGAACGCATAACAAGCCGATATGGATGCATTGGATGACTTCATTTCTCGAGTAGGATTCTCCAAGAGCTGGATCCAATATTTCTAAAGGTGTGCCATCCCTCCAATGTTTCCAAGCCTGCAACATTTATCAACCTTAGGTTAAAAGGGTTAACAACGTTAATGATTTTGCAGCATGCAGTTATAGGCTTTTGTACTCACATAGCTAAGAAGATCCTGCACTCCACTTGGATCAGTGAAGTTGGTGCATTTTTTCCCGGTTACAATCTCCAAAAGCAGAACACCGAAACTATAAACATCAGACTTCACAGAGAAGTGGCCATGCATTGCATACTCAGGAGACATGTAACCACTGCCAACCATTAAATCAATGAGGTATATCAAATTATAGTTATGAGTGACATCTTTTTGCAATAATGAATCAAATAACAAAGGATCTAAATGTTGTTGTATGCTCACTGCTAAGATGAAAAAGAGAACTTACTATGTTCCGACAACTCTGTTTGTATTTCCTTGGGTTTGATCAACTCCAAATATTTTGGCCATGCCAAAATCTGCTATTTTCGCGTTCATATCTCCATCTAGTAATATATTACTTGCTTTGAGATCACGGTGTATGATTCTAAGACGAGAATCTTCATGAAGATATAGTAGTCCTCGTGATATCCCTTCTATAATCTTATAACGCCTTGGCCAATCCAATAGGTGCCGCTTTTCAGGATCTTCGGAAGTAACAAAATGTTTGTCTCACGGTTAGGAAAATTATGTAAAGGACTTAATGTGTGGATATTTTCAGGTTTGAAACTTACCAAATAAAAAGTAGTCAAGACTTTTGTTGGACACAAATTCATAGATTAGTATCTTCTCTTCTCCTTCTGAGCAAAATCCCAGTAGCCTTACTAAATTTCTATGTTGAAGTTTGGCAACTACTTCTACCTCCATCTTGAATTCTTGAGCTCCCTGTCCAGAGTTTCTTGAAAGCCGTTTTACAGCTACCTCTTGTCCGGTGGGAAGTTTTCCCTGAGTGTTAGTAATCAACAAACAATTAATTCGAATGGACTAAAATGAACATATATATTGATGTTTGAGATCAAATAATGAAAGACTTTACCTTGTATACAGAACCATATCCACCTTCGCCAATTTTACTTTCGGGGGAGAAATAATCTGTAATAACTTGAATAGTAGCAAGATCATACTGCAAGCAATCCTCAGTTGAGATTCCAGACACATCTACAGGAAAGATGGATAAAAACAGATTGTAAATCTCAAAAACTTGAATGGTAAATATGGTATCACAAACAAGTATAGAACTTAACCTGTTTGCTCTGTTGTGGTAATTTGTTTCTTGGCTTGTTTAGCTCTCACAACACAGAAGATTGCAATGAAGAGTATAATCCCAGCAACGATAGGAACTACAATGGCAATAATCACATTTGTAGATGAATCTCCACTGTTCCCTGCATCAACAGAGATAGACTGTGGTATTTAGAATTTCATGCCAGGAAACAAAGTTAAACATCAAACACCACCAAATCAGGGAGAGAAATAATTCACAAATTCTTAAAACAGAGAATATCTCAAGGAACAGTGGAAAATACCCAAAGCATCATATTATAAGTAATTACTAGTATAATCTAATAACGTGAATTGAATAAAAATTTAGAGTTAATACCATCTAGAGTCTTCCGAGTATAGTGATTTTACCACGTTTAGTTCTAAACTTTCAAATTATCACTCATAGTCTTTCGACTTTTAAATTGTTACCATCGGTGGTCCAAGTTAACCATCCCCATGGTCCTTCAACTATAAAATTTTAACCACCCATGGTCTTCCCAAGATGACTGCGGCTGGTTAAATTTTGAAAATTGAAGGACCATAGATGGTTAACTTGGACTACGGATGGTAACAATTTGAAAGGTCAAGGACTATGAGTAGTAATTTGAAAGTTTAGGACTAAACGTGGCAAAATCACAATACTCGAAGGACCCTTAGATAGTATTAACTCTAAATATTTATTACTAGAAAATATTAGCGATGAAACTAAGAAAGCAAGAAAGCTTTACCTTCACCGGTAGCGGGAGGGGGAGGAGGAGGAGGACGGATAGGAACGGGGGCCGGCGGTGGCGCAGAGGGGGCGGTGCTATTGTAGAAGCGATACACCTCATACCTAACATTACAGCTCGGGAAGATAGTTCTTGCACCCAGAGCCGAATAACAACAACCGGGCAGTCGTTGGATTGCAGCTCCCAAGCAACTCTGACAATCCAAGACGGAAAGATCCGGCGTGCACTGCCCAAGACTATAGATTTGTCTAAACGCAGTGAAGTTAGCTTCTAGAGTCGCAAATTTCTTGCCGGATCCACCGCCGGCGGCTCGAGTGGCCATCTGATTCAACGTGTTTCCGACAGCATCCATGAACCTAGCCGGCTGAGAATCGTTCTGTGTATTATACAGATATATCCCGGGCGACTGGTCGGCTCTCCCGAACATAGAACTGTTGGAGTAACGCAACATACAGAAATCGTACCAGACAACAACAGCCCTTTCGTTGGGGCATAGCTGCAGTATCTCTCTGATAGCATTTCTTACACAGGCCCCACAGTCGGAGGTGGAGACATCACCCCGGCACATGAACAGGCCGTACGCGGTGTCCCGGGAGTTGTCGCGTCCACCGCCGGCGGTGAAGCTGTAGAAACCATCTTCGCGGGTGGCATTGGAAGAAAGGGTGGAGAGGAGAACATTGAGGTTGGCTCGATAAGTGCTGTTAGGAGCGTAAGTTGAGGTGTTGGGACAGAACTGTCCGAGAGGTTGAGAGGAAACTCCGGCGAACAGAGTGAGCAGGAAGAAGAAGATGCAGAGGGTGTAGCCCAGCAGAAAGCATCTGAATGGAGAATCCATAATTAATTGTTTATTGTTTTGTTGAGTTACATTAGTGGTTTCTGGTTGGGCAAAACACCCACATAAAAAGGGGATTTTGAAGACATGGTTTTACTCTTCTCTCTTCTTCCCAATGGTTTTACTCTTCTCGTCAAACGAACAGGGTACTGTTCATTGTACGTGGCGGAAAGATAAGCAATGGCATTGATGACGACGGGAGTGGAAACGCGGAAACTACTTTTAATTTTATTTTATAATGAAAATTATAATAAAAGACTAGAGGTGATCATGCTAATAAAATCCCTAGAGGAAAAATGAATTATAATTTCGTGAAAAAAAATCATTTTCTTGTAGGTTAAAAATAGAAAAGGAAAAAGTGATATAAAGACAAAAATGTTCTTATATAATACTCTGTAATAATAATTATTAGTTTTGAGACTACCGGAACAATTTACAAAAAAGTCTTAAATTTTCAAATTGATCATCCGTGGTCTTTCGATTTTAAAATTGTTACCATTTGTGATACAAGTTAACTACTCATGATCATTGCCTATCAACTTTAACTACTTATGGCCCTTTTAAGAGAATCGCAACTAATTAAATTTTAAAAAAGTTGAAGGACTAAATGGTTAACTTGAACCACGGATGGTAACAATTTAAAAATCGAAGAATTATTAATGATCAATTTAAAAATTTAAAACTAAATATGACAAAACCACTATACTCAGCTAATATAACATTAACTCAAACACAAATTATGCAATCACCTGCGGCGCAGCTTCCCTTCGTTGCCCGCCGCCCTCGCTTTCATACGAAGACGGGACTTTGATGGTTCAGCAATTGGGTATTTCTTCAACAATAATTTAATGACTTTAAATTTGGTTTGGTAATATTTCTATCTATCAACTATTTTTTTTAAAAAAAAAACAAAATTAGTATTGAAATGAGAAAAACATGATTCCGATAATAAAGTTACAAATTCAATTCTAAAAAAGTACAATATTTTTATTATTAAAGAGCGAATTTCCCCTATCATCTTAAAAAAATTCTGATAATTATAAATTTGTGTATATCAATTTAATTATTTGATTTGTAATCAAGGTAAGGTTAACTTATGTTTCAAAAAACAAAAAACAAAAAAAAAAAAAAAAAAAACTTATGTTTTTAGCATTCTAATCAATTTGATCATTTCATTGCTTAGGTTAACAATTTATCAAAATAAACTCTACTTTTTTATTTGAAAAATGTCACCATCTTAACATTTTACATGCAAATAAAAATATTTAACTATGTAAGTTATAGAAAATGCAATGGATTAAGGCATTAAGCTTGTAGATGAGTATGAGAGTGGATATTTTTATCATTTTATATGTGCAAGGTGAGTTAATATAATAAACATTGAATGTTCAGATCAAACACACATATATAGGGACAAGATCAAATGAAAACATGATCTTCATGTAAAAAGTGATGATTGGATGTTTATTAGACTTTTATCAATAAGTGAGAGTTTTAGTAAAAAAAAAAATATTGTCAATTTTATAATTATTGAAAACTTTAAAGTATTAAATATTTATAATTAAAAAAATCACATTTTTTTCTCTTTATTTTCCAACAACCCTGTTAGAAATTTTAGTTAAAATAGCTATTTTGTGGGATAAATATATGTACGGTCCACTTTCGATTTGGGTCGGGTCAAATTGGATTCAAGTTTTTTATAGTGAGACGAAGGAATTGATATATTGTACGCTTAAAATAAATAATAAGTGGATGAAAAATTGATTGTCAAAGTGAATCTAGAAATCAAAACTTAAGCTTAAATGCTAATTAAAATTAGCAATTCGTTTTGTACGTGCCAGGTTAGGCAATGTAAGAATGGTTAATACTTAATTGGCAGAAGGGTCAAATATCAATATGTACTACCATTGATTGTTCAATCTAGCACCATGAATTAAAATATGGTACATTTAGACTATTATACTACAAATTATTTTTCATTTAGCACTTTTAGCTAGTTTCTAAAAAGTAACCCATCTAATTTGCTTACATGGAAAAATAAAATAAAAATAAAATGCTGACATGTTATTTTTTCATCTAACTTACTGTTTTTGTCACTTTTTTTGACAGAAAAAATCAATTTTTTTTAATGTATTTCCAGATTATGTTGATTTCTTCTACGAATTTTCCAGAAAACATGGAATCTATTTTTTCCGTCGGCTGAGAAATAAGTATGTTACCGCTTTTGTGGTTTTTGAACCCATTTATTGGCATTGGTATTGGTTTTGGATGATGCGTTTATGAGACTCTTCGGTGCACACTTGAGATTGAGGAGCTGGTTAATAGACTAAGGGACAATGATAATATGTATATTGCTATTCATTTGAGGTATAATAACTAACACGACTTTTGATTTAATATTTGAGGTGTAACTTAATTAACTGATTTTCTTTGAGTGTAGATATGAAAAAGACATGCTTGCGTTTACTGGCGCAGCCACAATCTGACTGGAGTAGAAACTAAGGAACATCGCGTTATGAGGTATAATGTACAGCACTAGAAAGAGAAAGAGATAGACAGCGAAGAAATGAGACTGCTCTATGTCTCCGAGGGAAGCGGCCATGTTTCTGAAGGCGATGGAGTACCCCTCCACGACAAAAATATAAGTTTTGCAGTGCAATTTTATGATAACAACAGCATGGATGCATTCCGCTTAGAATACTCCTACGTGTTTTCACACTCAACACTCGCAACAGAGGAGGAGTTGGAATCTTTCAAACCATATCAAAAATCAACATAATCTGGAAATACGTTAAAAAAAGTTATTTTTTTTTGCCGAAAAAAGTAACAAAAACAAGTTAGATGAAAAAAAATAACATGTCAGCATTTTATTTTTGTTTTATTTTTTCATGTAAGCAAATTAGATGGATTACTTGTTAGAAAATTTGGTAAAAATTCTAGATAAAAATAATTGAGAGTATAATAGTCTTGATATATAGACCATATTTTAATTCATGGTGTTAGATGAACAATCAATGTTAATACATGAGCCTATTTGACCCTTCCTACTTAATTTGCTTAAGTTTGTGAAAGCTTTACTTTGAAGCTTAATTATGAAGCCTTGGGATTATTAGTAGCACGATTCGGTGCTTATGCGTAATTAGCACGATTCGGTGCTATATACACCGATTCAGTGTTAATGGCACCACTTGAGTACGGTTATCGGTCTCATTTCGTTAATCTTTTGATTTGTACGAACTTCTTAGTTATTTAGGTATTTTAAAATAGATCATTATGGTCGATACGAATTAATTGTAGATTAATTTCGTAACTGTAAATTTTATTTTTAATATTAAGTATAACCGTTTCAAACGTTATAATCCAATTAATGTTAGAATTTATAGCATCCCCTATATAAAGCTTAGCTTGGGCAGAATTTTATACAGTACAACAAGAAAAATTCATTTCTCCTCCTACGTTTGTCATCTTCCCAAAACTTTGTCCATTCTTCTAAAAACTTGTGTTCAAGCATTATGCTCTAGTTTGTTGAAGGTACTATTTTTTGAGTACTCGAATATAGTATCGTTGATCCATTTTAGATCGAATATGAGAATTCCACCTGGAGTTGTTATCTAGTCTTGGAGTAGCCTAAGAGCATTAGGATTTGAGTATTAATGATTTTTAGACCATTTTTTTTTTATAGTATAATGAATTGATATTTATACTTGAAAGAGATATCTATCTGTTATAGGACCAGTAATGAGAGTTATACATGTGTAATAGAGCAAGTGTAGCAAAATATTCGCTGAGCAAAAATAAAGGGAAACAATAACAAACTATAATTTAGTGCTTATGATAATAACCGCATGACTTGCTCAGTTGCTCTTTAGTGAACTTTTCCCCTCTCAAATACTGTCTATTAAATTATTGCTCTTTAGTGAACTTGTTCAGGTAGACACACTTGAAATAAGTTGACTCTGTTCAGAGGACTGAATATATCGAAGTGGGTCATTCATATCCTGATTAATATAATGAAATAATACCCAAAATGGTCCTCGACTATAATGATTTTTCACAATTTCGTCCTAAACGACTTTGGTGATCTAAAGTAGTTCCAGACTTTTGTATTTTTGCTCAATTTAGCCTTTCGTTTGTTATTCCGTCCATTTAGTGTCAAATAGATGGACAATTCAGTAATTTCAATATTGACACTCTTTACTTCTAGACCTGCAAAGTGTGAAATCCCTCATCCTTTTACGAACTATCTCTAAATCTGTGAATATAAAATTTGATTTCCAAGTTTGGGAGTAATTCGTAGAGAGCTAAAGACATATATACTTCATATGAGAGTGATTATTGAAGCAAAGGGAAATAAATGAGGTAATTATTATGTCCACATTCACACCTACTTGTCACAAAACATTGCGTACAGAGCTAAATAAGTGGAGAAAACAAAGACATATACACGAAAAGGAGTTCAAACTGGCTCGACATGCCTGGCCCATCTTTGGAAGACTTTGACTTTTGATAATGGCATCCATACATGTAACCAATTTAGACGCAATCTGATGACATACATTTTAGTGTTCATTTTGGTGTACAACTTTACTCCTGCCTTGTCTCTTTGCTATATATTCACTTTTCAGTTCACATCTCTGTGAAGTAGGCAAGTAGCCGTGCATGTGATGCATGTAATCATGCAGATAAAGACTATCCTTCATCAACCATGGCTCAATCCAACTTCTATCATACTAGAAGCAAGTCTTCAATGAGATTTTTATCCACTAGACAAATGTTTTGAGAAATTTTCAATTCCTCAAACGTTTAAAACAATAATGATAACAAACTCGAGTAATAAAGGCAAAGAGCAATTACGTATATAGTATTATATATGTATTCAACAACAACAACAACAACAATAATAATAATAATAATAATAATAATAATAATAATAATAATTATTATTATTATTATTATTATTATTATTATTATTATAGAGTACATTTATAATAAATAACAAAAATAGGTAAAGATAAATTAGACTTTATCGTATGCATCCATGATCCATCTAATATTTTTTAATTGTCAAGATTAAATTAAATGTGTGCGAACGCGAATTAAATGTGTGCAAACGCATTTAATCGTGTTTGCACACATTTA